GAACTTACAGGCACAGTGAATAAATTTTTATTAATTTGTAAATTACAATGTTATTTTTATAAATTTATTTATTAATATAGGTATCTCTTGGTATTAAGAAAGGGAAATTAAGCCAACTGTATTTAAAGGCTTCAAAGCAAAACTGATGCTTTAATATTCCTCTGTAGCCGCCATTTGATTCCAAGGCAGTTATTCAAGAATACAGCATGGCTTAAAAGAGTGGTGCTTTAATGAGTTGTTCTCGTGCTTTTCCCTTTGTTTTCATATGGTTCTTCAGTTCTTAATGGTATTTTGGTAATTTGTAGTAATTGAAGACAAATGGAAAAACTTCGTGATGCAAAACAATACGACAGAAGACGTGTAAGGGAAAAGGGATGGGTGTCTCCTTAAGGCATCCATTTATTAAAAATCATAACAGAAAAATATCTTCTTTTAAATAATTTATTTTTGCTTGATAAATTAGTTCCAGACTGTGTGCAGGACAGTAAAAGACATGTTAAGGTAGTTAACAACAGTGGGAACTAACGTGGAGAGCTATGAAGATAAGTGGAAGAGCTGGGACTGCAGAATTCATATTTAGCACAGTTGTGTGAATATTTGTGGCACTGAGAGTAAATCACCAGTGCTTTGGTAATGCCAGACAGACACAGAACTGGGAACCCTCACAAAGGAGCTGTTTTTGGGGTGCTGGGTGCAGCATCCCAGCTGTGCTGGATGATCCAAGGGGAGGAGCACATGTGCCAGTCTCCTGCTCAGAGATGAGTTCAAGTGCTGATACCCCTCAGTTCAGAGAATTCAAGTGTCAGTGCAGGATGTGCTGGCATCTGGCTTCCAGTCCAGCTTCCTTGCATCCTGTTCCATCTTTAAATTCAGGAGCAGAGGTGTGCTCCTGTGCACCCTTCAGTCTGACTGCAATACCAGGTTCATACAGCCCAGACCATCCCAGCCCTGCAAACCCTGCTCAGGAGATTGTGGGGCACTAAACATCACACTTGAGTTAATGCTGAAACCTCCTCCTGCATCAAAACTGACAGATCCCAAACTAAAGCTACACGCTTGGCTTCTGTCCTTCTGAGCTTGGCTCGACAGAAAGAGGCAACATTCACACAAACCTGAGTTCAGCACCTTCCCTGGCCTGGCTGCCAGATTTGTGGTGCTTCAGTAAATGTGGAGATGAATCCGTGCAGTTCATTGCTGATATTTTGATTTCAGCCAGTGCAGTGGGTGTGAGACTGGGAGCAAGTACTCCTGAACTGGGCTGTCCATGCTTTTGGGGGATCAAGAGTCCGACAGCACAGGGAGAGTGGGATCAGACCATGGAGATCTTCGTGGCAGGTTGGAGGGAGATGATTCTGGAGGGGAAGGGGAGACACTCAATGTCTTAGGTACCCTGAGCATCAACTCAGGAGAGCTCTTGACCTGGAAAAACAAGGTGGACAAAGGGAGGACAGGTCTCAGCCCAGTCTGGCCGCAGCTCCTCCACAGAGCTCTGGTGGTGTTTTAGGGATGAGGAGGAAGATGAAGGCTGTGCTGAGCAGGGAGGATTGCTGGTGTCTCAGTTCTGTTATCTCACTGCAGCGCCAGTGGTATTATCAAGACAAATAGGATGCCAAAACTTAAAAGTGAACATATGTTTATGGGGGTGGTGGGGAATACAGAGGTCACTGTTGTTTCTTTCTGCTCAGAGAAGACATAATGGGGCCTGGTTTAGATAAATTAAGATTTGGAGCTAAGCTCGTGTCAAGACAACGCGAGTGTAATTATAAGTTGACTTCTTTCAGGGTCCCTGAAGTTTTTAGAGTCAAATAAAAATGTTCAGCAAGAGTTTTATAATGTAGTTCAACAGTTTTAATGTGAGCTGATTGCAGTTCAGCCTTGCTGGCTCCTGAAACAATTTTACTTTGATTTGAAAAATTTTCAGTGAACTTCCACATATTTCCATGTCATTTCAGTGCTCTGTTTCCTCTCTCTCTGGACTTCATTTATATTTTGCGATTTTTGATGTCTTTTTCCTCTCATATTTCCTTATTTCCTTATGCACTTGAGTGTTGGCATGCCTAATTATTTTTTTATTCCAGTTAAAGTTGTCACAGTGCTTTTTCTAAATTTTATTTTAAGATGTGAAATAGTTGCAGTGCTCATTTTTAGTAAAACTTTAAACCAGACAGGTTGATTTATTTTTTTTAACAACTAAAACATAAAACCATATTTCTGCCTAGTGGGATTGTTTGGAATTCTGGTTTTGAATTTGAGGGTGAAAAAAGGTGTAAAATACCTGTGATTTACAAACTGCTTCCTTTGGAAAGTCTCTGATCTCCTTGCAAGATGTTGTTTCAAATCTGGTTTATATTTCCATCACTCTATAACTGGTAAGAAGCAAATAAACCATACCTTCTGTAATACTTAGAGAGAATAAAAGTACAAATGCTCTTTATTAAAATGTGGAAAAACTGTAATAGGAAAACAAATCCATCCTGTTATTTCCCAGAAATGGAAGCATTTTAAGTGCTTTCCTTTTCATAAAAGGGGCAAATGAATTTTTCAAAATACAGTACAGAATCAGTGCTGTAATGCTAATTGTATTTAATAATAGTAATTTAAATTTGGCTGCTCTCTGCCTAGCAGCAGCGAGCGAAAATTGTATGTGGGAAACGTTGAAGTCCAGAAGTGTAACATATGGTGTGCTTTGGCCTTCAGAGAGTCTCTGTGCACCCATGAAACAGCTCAACTGCACAAGTGTCCCTGGTGGTGCCCCTTCCTTCTCACCCCATCCCCGAGCGGTGCCTGACACTCCCCAGCATGGATTTGCACATCCCAGGGCCTCCCTGCCTTTGGCACTTCGTTCCACAGGCTCATTGCAGCTTCTCCTCGTGTGAAAATGTTCTCTCCCAATTGCTTCTGTTCTCCTTCCCTAATGAGCATCAGTCCATCTGGGATTGCTCAAATGCAGATTATTAAGTGGGTTATTCACAACCATCAATCCCTTGCTCTGTGGCAGGTCAGATGCCCTGGGAGATTCCAGTGCCTTTCTGTGGTCTTTGTTGATAAACTCTGAAAGAGCAGCATGGCCAGCTCTTCTTGAGAATTTATATCTGCTCTCCACATCCTCCATCACTTCAACATCTGATGCTCATTTATCACTTTTCCAATACCCTTTGATAAGCTCTAAATAGGTCAGGTGTCAGTTACACCACACCTCCACCCGTCTCCATAAATTAATACAGATCCTGGGGGGATGTAAGTGGAATAGGAATTTGGTTTATTTCTTTAAGTACAGCCTTGCATTGTGGTGCCAGAACTCGTCTCTTCCCAGCCTCTCCCGTATCTCCCAAGATTTCCTCGCTGCTGCTGCCAAACGCTGCCGTGTCCTTATTTCCCTCCTTGACCCCTCCTCCCCTCCAGGCCTTTTCTTGGCTTATACCTTGTGCATTGTGCTTCTGTGTGATTTCTACGATTGTCCTTTGGTTTTGTGGCCTCAATCCTGCCCGTGATGATCCCGACAAGTCCCTTTCCAGCCATGAGCTGATCCGCACCGGCCACGCGCTGTCCCGCGCTGCGCTCCCACTCCCTGCTTTATTTCATCATCCCCTCTCCCTTCCCAAATCTTTCCCTTCTCCTCACAGAGGCGTTTCAGGACAAAGCAAACACAAGTGGCACCAGGGCTGACCCCACAGCACCCTCCTGCTTTATCTCCCCTCCTCTTCCTCTCCCGGGCACGCGGCGCTTCCCGAGCCCGAGCGCTGGCAAAGCCCTGGCTTGGTCACACGCTTCCCAGTGCTGCAAATCCCCCTCCTGCAGAACAAAATATCAGATACTTTCCTGAAATACAGATACAGTAAACTCTGGCCTTGTTTCTGCCTTATCTATGAATCAATAATGTAGAGAAAGAATTCAAGGACGTTTTTCAGACAGGGCCTTCCTTTTTTTAGGCCGCGGTGACGTCCGCACCTTTAAATGGTTCCATAATATTCACTGCCTTTCAAATACACAGAAGAATTGATATCAGGCCTTTGTATCCGCAGTTCTTCAGATCCTTCCTTGCCTTTTATTAAAATATGGGAACGATAATCTCCATGCCTTTGGTTTCCTGATTTGGGTAAGCTGCCACAGAGCTGTGTCAGGCTTTCCTGTTTCCCTTTCTGCCCCTCTGCTTTGGAGTATTAATTCACTGGATCTGATCCTGAGTCACTTTGGTTGTTTATTGTCAATATGAAGCAATAGAAAATCCTCTGCTTTCCACTACAATAGGAAAATACATGTTTACAGAAAAAAATTGCTGTGGAATAGGTATTTTATTCTTGGAGCTGTTAAGCTGCCTCTCCTTGTACAATGGAGTTTTAGATGAAAATACAGATGTAGGGGGAACATAATAAAATGATAAAAATAAATTCTTAGATGAGTATTGTGTGTGTTACAGAACACAAGGAGAAGCTGCTCAGAGGAGCTCAGGAGTGCAGACTGTGCCTGAGCTGTATTAGAAAACTTCTTTGCATGTAGAAGATTCACAGTTATTTAGGGTTAAGTATCACAGGGTGCTCAACAAGTTCATTTTTCCATCTCCTCACAGGCTTATTGGAAATGATAGAAAAATCTGTTTACCACAATAAAGGCAGAGTGGGGCATCAGAAGTGGCCACAGTTCTGTTTGCTGTGCTAGATCTCAATAAGTGGTAAAGGAAAACAGTTGTAGAGGAGAGAATCTGCCTGGCAAGTACCAGGCTTTTTATAAAGATTTAAAGTAAAGAATCACAACAGGCAGGAGCGGTCATGAAAATATTGATGCTTGTTATTGGGCTGAAAAATGGACTTTATAGTCAGTACAAATGTAGCAGGAACAGTCTTTTAAGACTGCTTCTATAGGAGATGTACACAGGAGACATGGGTTCACTTTTTATGTACTTACTAGCTTTACATGAAATTATTAATTTATATTTATAGCTCTGAGTATGAGAGTTGTATTGGAACAAGCCTTAAAGCTGCTTTTCTCATCTCCCCTTTTAGATTGATGCATTGGGTAAACGAAGCAAAGAAGCAGAGGCAGCCTTCTTGAATGTTTATAAGAGATTAATTGATGTTCCAGGTAAGCTAATTATTCCCTTATTCTGAGAAACGAATGGTTCATGTTTGTGTGAATGCTGCTGGGCATTTTTCCTACCTTTAATAAGGTAAATACAAGCAATGGCTTTGTTCTGGAACTGACAGACTCCTGTATTGTTTCTAATGGAGAGAACTGTAACTGTGGCACATTTCAAGATTTCTCATTGCATCTACATGTCAATGTTTCTATTAATCAATTTATATTATGGTACTCTGTGATCCTCGGTATTTTGTTTGTTAGAGGGTTCAGACAATTTTAACAACAAAAACAAAGCATCTCGAAGCTTCACCAAGAAAAAGCAATATTTGTACTTAGAAAGGATAGAAAAAACTTTTCATCCCCTCCAAGAAAAACAAAAGAAAAAGCCTTACTGAAAAGTAAATCACTACCAAATTTCAGTTCTCTGCAGTGTAAGTGTGATCATAAATTTTATTCAGAGGCCTTTATTGTATGTGTTTTCAACTTCCCTTTTGTTTGGCAAACGAATTTTCTTTGTTTGGCATTTGGTTTCAGTTCATTTCTTTTTACATTTTGGGAGCTGATTTTTTTTTGTTTTCCCCAGTGGTAAATAAATAACTGCCTGAGCAGATTTTTCATTTTGCAGCTGTACCCACAGCTGAGAGGGGGTGAGGAGCCCAAGTCTCCACTGCCACATCTTGGCCTGACTGAGCTGTTGGCACATGACTCTGTCTCATTTTATAGTTTTACAAAACATTAACATTATATATATATAATAATCAAAATACCTCAAGAGGGGTTTTGAGGTGTTATCAATACTTTTAAGGCTTCATAGTACCCTGGTACTGGTTTTACCATTTAAGGAGTGCATTTCATGCATGCTTCAAATAAAAATTAAATTTTTAATGTTTTAGTTTAATGATTAACTAGTTGAAAGGTCAGTGTTTTCAGATGCTCAGTGCGAGCTAACAAATGTGGCTTTTTATGCTGTCCCATTCATAATTGAGCAGTGCCCAGTGTAGGGATGCAGGGACTCACCACGCTCTTCCTGGGCCACAAAAAAATGGAAATGCCTTGGAAATGTTGTTTTTAGGTTAGTCAGCTGTGGTCTGTGAGTTTTCCTTCACTTATTTCCTGCTCAGACTCTCAGTAACATTGTGCTGAGCACAGAACAGCTCCCTTTGCCCGCCTCATGCCATGGGAGGAGTGGGTAACTCAGCGAGGGCCCTGACCTCATTGCTTGGCATGAGCAGTGTGGGCCTGGGATGGGCACCCGGAGCTCTGGCTTGGAAAAGAACACCTCCATGGAAACTTTCCCAAATATCTGCAGCCTGGGAGTCCGGCATGAGCGCTGGGGAGAGGCACTGCAGCCCCTGCATCTCCACACTAACGCTCCCTGCAGCTTCCTGCCATAATTTGGTAGGAAGCTGAGTCGGTTTGAGTTGGAACAGTCTGGCTTTTTTCAGGACTGAGAAGTGGTGTCAAACAAGAGCTGTGTGGGATCCTTGGTGTGCTCTTGTGCAGAGGCTTCTTGCTGAAGCCTGGCACATCACAGGTGCTGGGATCTGAGCTGCAGATCAGACCGAGCCTTGAGAAAAAGGTAGGATTTATATCCCACCCACCAGGATTTAGATGAAATGGTGAGGGACTTCGTCAGGATTTCTTTGTAGGAGAAAATTCTTTCTCTTTCATTTGCAAAATTTACAGACCTGCTCCCACACCCCCACAGCTTCTGTGCTGTCCCGCTGTCCCTGCGCGTGCCTTATGTCACCTGTCACAGAAATATTTCTTTGATATTCCTAATATACATAAAATCTTCAGCCTGGCTGACTTGGGAGTGCAGTGGAGTCTGGGGTGAGAAATATCTCCAGATTTTATGCCCATGCTCTTACCTGGAGGTCTGAGGTAGAAGTAAATTCCAGGTTCTCCAGTCAGTCTCCTGTAGCTGCGTGCACGTAACAAATACTCACAGTTTACAACACACGCTGCAAGGAGAAGGAGAGCAGCCATTAGGAATGTATGGCACTGCTCTTTGTCACTCTGCTTCATTGTGTTCCTCTTTTTTTTTTATTCCTTCTCATCCTGTGTAGTCTGCTGGGTTGGGCAGTGTCCATGGAGGGTTGGGTGGGTATCCATGGAGAGCTCTCCTTTATAAACAGCCATCACTACTCATTTATCACATGTGCTGCTTTGCCTCCGTGTGGCTTTACATATCTTTTGACCTGTTCATTTGGTATTTCAAATATTTAGGTACACTTTTAGCTCCCCAATGCTGCTGTGTTTTCTTTTTGGTGTGAGAAGGGAGGATGATGTTTGGGGGAAGCTATGCCTGGAATGCTGCAGAGTGGTTATTTAGCATTAAGCATCGCTGTTACATGACAAGGGTGCAATTTTATCAGACTTTCAATATCCTTTATAGGACCATATAATAATTGCAGCTGAAGTCTAATTCCCAGCAGCCAATTTTATGGTTCTTGAGGAAAGCGTGTATTTCTCTCCTCAGTAATAATGTGCACACTTTATATAATTAAAAAGGGCTTCTATTTTAATTTTACTATAAAATGATCTGTATTGAAACTCCAGCTACAGTGCTTTATGGATTCAGCAAAGTTTAATCATTTTCTTTCCTGACCTGACCAGAGTTTTCACTCAGGCTCACCAGTAAGGAATTTGTGGGAAGGGTGGTATTTTACTTGTAAATTTTCCTATGTACATCAGGGGGTTTCTCTTTAAAAGATAAAACAGACCTTTTATATATCTCTCTCCAGCTTTATGATGCTGTTAAAATAGCATTATCCTTGCTTTGTGCTGTGAAATTTATCCTTCTTAAAGGAAAGCACATGTCAAGGAAAACATTTTGGTTTATGTACATTTATACAGCTCAGATCATTCTGTCTTGCTCGAGACTGAACATTTTTAATTAATGGAATTAATTTTCTCATTTAATTGCCTTATTTTCAGTATGCAGTACAGAGCAAGGGAAAAGCGAATCCTGCCACATGAATTGCACTAATCAACAAGGTTGTCACAACTTACCTTTAAAAATAATGTGAATATATTTATTTTGAAGTAAAGGGAGGTTGGGTCTGTGTTTTGAGGAAACCTTCTTCCATCTGTTCAGGATTCCTTTGTCTCCAGTTTTAAAAAATAAATGTATTATGTTAACACCCTTGGCTTTTAGGGTCTTAATCTTGCAAGCACTTAAAGTGAAATTGGAGCCTTGTTGTGTGTTTGGAGAAGTGGTGTTACCTTGCAGAAACAGTATATTCAAAATTCGGGTTTTTTTCCCCTCCTAAATCTTTAAAGGAAAAAATAGTAAGCATTAAAAACACTAAATATTTTTATTTCAAAAAGGAACTGTGATCACCACTTTATTTTTTTTAAAACAAAACTTGGGTGTAATTTTCAAGTAAAAGTTCAAATGTGGAGACCAAGGGAATGCCAGGTGTCAGTGTCTGGATAAATTGGTTAATAGAGTGTTCTTTCTGCAAGGGATCACTGCAGTTACAGCCCAGTGCCACGCTGCATTTGCTCAGTATTTTGTCTCAGTATTGCTCCTGTGTAGGCAAAGAAACAATTCTGCCTTTAAACACAAATCTGCTCTCTGGATGTGGCACAATTAAACCCAGTTGGGTTCAGTCTGGAGAACAGGAAAACAGAGTTTTTTCAGCATATGGACATTTGAGAGTGAGGGAAGGTTAATGCAAACTGTTTGTTCTTGGTTTGGAGGGGCTGTGCTGCCTTCCAGGGCTCAGCCAGAAATGGGTTTCGTTTCTCCTTAATGGGAATGAGAAAATTGGCCAGGAAACCAAACGACTCAGGGGGTGTAAAAGGGGATGTGAGTGTGGTTTTATTGGAGACTCTTCCCAGATTGGGTGCTAAATAATGTGTGTGCTGTGGGTTTAGCTCAGAGGACCTGCTATCGAAGGGAAATATAACAAAAAACAGAGAAGGTAAAAATAAGATTTTTTTTTTTTTAATGTGCCCTGTCAAAACAATCAAAAGCAATAACAGTGAAAGATGGCTGAAGTGGAAATTTTATCTTTCCCTTGCTCCTTGCCATCATAAATTGCACACCCAGCCGTAGGGGCTGTGTCTCACAAAGGAGGAGCAGGCTCCTTCCAAAGGAGTTTTCCACTCACCTCTCACTACATGCTGTATTTTAGTCCACACACAGCCCCCGTTCAGCCTTGCAAATTCCAACTGCCCTGCATAGGGTGTTCTTTTTTCAAGAAATGCTTTACCTGAGAAAGCACAAAGTTCTTTTTGAATAAATGATCAGTAAAGCACTAAAAAAGTGCAAGGGAATTACTTCTAAAGGCAGAAATGAAATTTATTTGCAGTGCTTGCAAATAATCAGACATTTATCAGCCTTTGCCTTTTGATTATTTATAACTCACAACCCTCTTCAGACTTGCTCTGCTGTTTGGGCTGTGAGAAAATTTCATTTAAAGCCTATTTGATCAATGTCCTGAGGTTAAAGGTGATGCAAGAGTAAAACAGGTTTGATTTTGGATTTCGTTGGGGTTTTTTTCCCCCCTGAAAAATTATCTGCTGCTTATGTTGGAGGTGATAAATGTGTATGAAGTTGTTGTGTTTATGTACATCCTGTGACATGTTTGGATTTTTGGGAAAGTGTAATGTTAAGCAGAAAGGTTAATGGTAAGAAAGTCTGTATAATAAAGACTTTTACAGACCCAGATGACTCATGATGTGCTAAAATTTCAACCTGGGTACCCTCAGCCTTTCCTGCCTGTAGGGAGAGCTGGGTGAATGTAAATTTAGGGGATATTTAAGAGAGGTGAGGGAAAAGAGGTTCACTCTGAGGGACTGTTTAAGCACATCCCAGAGTAGAATACAAAAAAGAGTTTGAAAAAGTTAATACTTAGAGTACTCTTGTCTGAGATAATGGTTAATTGGTTGGCAAAACTGTCTAAAGAGCAAGATCAGGTCGTAGTAAACCCTGAGTTTGTGCTACATCGAGGCTGAACAGCACAGACCATTTTTGAGAAATGTTTGGTATC